TGGCCTGCAGATTAAAGTGTCCCGGGTTCGAGGTCAAGGGCACATACCTCAGTTGCAGGCTCGATCCCCAGTCCTAATCTGGGCGTGTATGGGAGGCAACTAATTGATGTGTCTCTCTTACATCGATGTTTCTCTGTCTCTCTCTGTGTCTCTTACCCTCCCTATACTCTCTCTAAATATCAATGGGAAAATATCCTTGGGTGAGGAATAACAAAAATTTTTAAGAAGTTGAATGCCCTGGCCAGTGCCTGGTTAGAGCGTTGGCCCACGCACCAAAAGGTCGCGGTTTCGATTCCATGGGGGATGCACCCAGTCAATGTGTCTCTATCACATCGATGTTTTCTCTCTTTCTCTTTCCTTCCACTTTCACTCTCTCTGAAAATCAGTGCAGAAAAAATATCCTCAGGTGAGGATTAAAAAAAAAAAAAAAGGTGAACAATGCTATTTTATACTCTGATAATTAGGTCTTTCTGAAGCTGGAATGATACTAATAAATAATGTTCCCTGGACAGGCTTGAGAAGGAGAAAGCAGAAATTGAACGCATGCGAAACCTGACTGAGGAAGAGAGGCGAGCTGAGCTTCGTGCAAATGGCAAAGTTATTACCAACAAAGCTGTTAAGGGCAAATACAAGTTCTTACAGAAGTATTATCACCGGGGTGCATTCTTCATGGTAAGAAGGGAAAAGGGAAAGTTGGGCACTAGAAATAACTCAGAAGCTTTGAAATCTATTTTCCCCTCAAGAATAAACTGGTTCCGGAATGTTACTTCTACTTGCCAGTGGTCAGCTTTCTCATTTGTTTTTTTGCCTCTGAAGAATATGAACCCAATAGAGAAAAGTATTGGCAAAAGGATTTTAAAAGTTGCAGCAACTGTTCTTTCTTTTAGCCCCAGCTCCCAGGAGGAGGAAATGATATGTTAGAATTGAGGAACTGAAATAGAGAGAGTGATCTATATAGATGCTAGACTATTTATGCACCAAAATCACTTAGATATTATTCATAACTGACTTTTGCATTTTGGTTATGCATAAAATAGGTTCTGTAAATAGCTTCACATGAACTCATATTTGCATGGCAAAAGTTTAATTCACTTCATTCTGAGCTGACAGAAAGTTACTAAGCCTAACTAACAAAAAAAGTGGTTAATTATCTAACCATTATGTGTAATGCCATCATCTTTCCAAGATCAGAATATCAACCTGTAAATCCTATATTAGGCGATTCATTCCAAATTATTCGGATTAGCATTAGAGATAATTTTTTTTAATTATTTTTAGAGAGAGGGAGAGGGATAGAGAGAAATATGAGAGGAACATCATTGATCACCTGCCCCCTGCATGCTCCCCACTGGGGACCAAGCCTGCAAGCCAGGCATATGCCCTGACCAGGAATTAAACCAGCAACCTCTTGGTTCCTGGGTGAGCGCTTAACCATTGTACCACACCAGCCAGGCTAGAGATAATTTCTTAATACAAAGATAGCCAGAAAGGAAATGGAAGCGTTAATTACATTTATTATTCCAATAGCATGTCGTTTGTTAAATTATTTCCTTGTGTGTGAGGAGTTTGTATCAAAAACTTAGACTAGCTTTTTTAAATGTATGTCAGACCCTAAATATCACCACTGCAGCTAAATTCCTGCGTTACTGCAGATACTGGTAAAATTATTTTTTAAAAAAACTTCAGTGTAGGGTTCCTTACTCCTCTCCAAAATCAGTGTGTCTGTTTGCTCAGCAGGAAATGTTTAGTTATGTAGTTTTTCTGAATTGAAGTTGGTAGAGATTATGAATCACTCCTTATACTGCTTCAAAGTCATGAAGTTACCATTGCTTAAGCATTTCAGCAACTTCAACATCCAAGCCTCTTAGAGAAGTGTATTGCTGGCTGGCTAAGATACATAAAGTTTATATGAAAGTCTTTTGATGCACATCCTCAAATGTTAAGTCTTCTCATCTAGATAAGGAGAGTGAAGTTGAAATGGCTTCTGAGTTTAAATGAGGAACTCGGGCTCGAACAAGAGAAAAGTAAATCTCACAAAAACTGTTTAATTGTCCTACTTTAAACTGGGTCTTTCTCTAGCTGAAGGGAAAAGAATACTCCAAAAGGGTGTTTAGTTAAAGGACTCAGCTCTTCCATGAAGCTTTCCTTAACCAAGATGCTACTATTTTAATTCCTTTACCATATGTTTATGATCTATATCTTAACATTATAGTCTTACTAACATGTTGATTTGAAACTATTCTCTATAGTTATTTTATACTAGAGGCCCAATGCACAAAATTCATGCAAGAATAGGCCTTCCTTCCCCCGGCTGCTGGCACTGGCTTCCCTCTGGCACCCGGGACCCGGTCTTCCCTAGTAGCCCCAGCTTCGTCCAGGAAGGTCGTCTGGAAGGATGTCCAGTCTAATTAGCATATTGTGCTTTTATTACTATAGTTAAGTAGATAACCTTTTGAGCTTTTACTGCATAAAGGGCACTGTTTAATACTCTAAAAATGGAGGTAGGGCAAATATATAACATAAGGAAAATGAAAAGTACTGTGAGACTTCTGAAAAGGGAGATGTTGAATTTTGTAGAAGACTGAAAAGGATAATATAAAGGAGGTGACATTTAATGTATAGACTTTCTGATATTTGGTAGTAGGAAGACATTCCAGGTGAAGGGACCAAGAGTAGAGGCAGTGTAAAGGAAAAGGAAAGTGGCAAGGAGAGGTCGATTAAGGCTGTATAGTATTTGGCCTTAACTACTACACAGAGGAGTTGTTTAATAAAATAGAAAATTTTAAAGTTTTTAAGCAAGGCCAAGATATGAGAGAGTTGTGTTTTAGAAACATTACTCCACTGGCAGTGTGTAAGATTGACTGCAAGGAAAAACTATAACCCAGGGGATGAGAATTTATAAGTGGCAACTGATTGAATCTGCACAACAGATTTATTTATTTTTTTTAAATATATTTCTTTATTGACTTCAGAGAGGAAGGGAGGAGAGATATAAACATCAATGATGAGAGAGAACCATTGATCGGCTGCCTCCCGCACACCCCCCACTGGGGAACAAGCCCGAAGGCTGACGCTCTATACACTGAGCCAAGCCGGCCAGGGCATGCACAACAGATTTAAATTTTGAATCTAGGTAATTGAGAGAATGTTGGTCCTATTTACAGAAAAAGTTAAATCAGGAAGAAGCTGAATTAGAAAGGTTGGGGAAATAATTTTCACTTTAGAGAGTTTGAAATCCCAACAGAATATTCAAACTAGCCGAAACCGGTTTGGCTCAGTGGATAGAGCGTCAGCCTGCAGACTGAAGGGTCCCGGGTTCGATTCCGGTCAAGGGCATGTACCTGGGTTGCGGGCACATCCCCAGTAGGAGATGTGCAGGAGGCGGCTGATCGATGTTTCTCTCTCATCGATGTTTCTAACTCTCTGTCTCTCTCCCTTCCTCTCTGTAAAAAAATCAATAAAATATATTTTTAAAAAAACAAAAAAAAAGAATATTCAAACTAATGGGAAGTAGAAAATTCAGAATCAATAAACTGATGAACAAAAATAGAGCCAGAGGGGAAAAAAATATTTTAGAATATAGTGGAATCCTGGTATTTGCAGATTTTTAATATTTCCTACAACTTTTGTGATATTATACTGTTAGTACAGTTTTTGTAATATATTTAAAATTGTTTTTCTTGAAATATTGTTTATTGCATGTAAATGGCTGTTTTGTATCTACAAAAAAATTTCAGAATCAGAGATTTGAAAGGCTTGTAACAGAGTTAGACATATGAGTGAATGAATATAGTTGAGTGCAGAGAGAATATAACCAACCTTCAGGAAATGGCTACACTTAGGAAGAAAAAAAGACAACATGAGGGGAAAAGGAGTGTCATATTGAGATGTAAGCTCTTGAAGAAAAGGTTTTATCCCCCTGCTTTCTTTGTACCCCTCATCATAGTTTAATAAATTTGTGGTTTGAATGTATGGGAAATAAAACCACAAGATTGATAAGACTCTTTTCTACAGGATGAGGATGAAGAAGTATACAAGAGAGATTTCAGCGCACCTACCCTGGAGGATCATTTCAACAAAACAATTCTTCCTAAAGTCATGCAGGTATGGGGCACCTCAACATGAGAGAAAAGTAATACTGAGGGCTGGGACATAATGTTTGGTAGTATAACTCATCACCTATCCTTCCCTCAGGTCAAGAACTTTGGGCGCTCTGGTCGTACCAAATATACCCACCTTGTGGACCAGGACACCACCTCCTTTGATTCAGCATGGGGCCAAGAGAGTGCCCAGAACACAAAGTTCTTTAAACAAAAGGCAGCTGGGGTACGAGATGTATTTGAACGGCCATCTGCCAAAAAGCGGAAAACTACTTAAAGATCAACTACTTATTCTTCCAGCTGTGGGACACAAGGGCAAGTCTCAGTGTCTGGTCCTTTGCTTTCACTATTATTTACATGGGCTACGTATCCAGCCTATTGGACCTACTGCCATACTTGTGACACTGGGTAACCCAGTTTTGGAAGGTGCTTTGTGCGGTTTGGACTCCTGCTGAGAAACCCACATAAAAGCACTATCCAGGTAGGATTATCCCCACTTAAAATTATTTCTGAGAAATCTTCATTTTCATCATTGCTCTGGCTTCCCAAATTTACTTGGGACTGTTCCAAGTTTTTCTCCAGCCCCTTAGCTTGGGTCAGAAATATAGACATGTAAATGGACAGTGCATTACTTCTACCTTACAGGAAATCTGAGCTCATTGAAACCTGATTTACATTTTTGGCTCAAGTCAATTTTTCTAGGTGAATGTACTTTTTAAATCCATTTATGTATATGTCAATAAAAGAATCACATGAGACTTTTTGAGCTTCATACTGGAAAATAATGTGCAGGCTATTAAGTATCACCTGTTAACTAAAATAAAGTCAGAATTGTCAGGCAAATGATGTTTCACACTTTGATCTCAGAAACAAACTCAGACTCTACAGACAGGCATATTCTTAGTGGCACCCAGTTTATTCTGAGCAAGTAATATACATAGATGGTTGTCCTTGCCTTCTTAATTGTATCTGTATATATAACAAAAGTTGACCTATAAAATGGGGACTCCCAAGTCCCTACCAGTATCTTTTCTTTGCCCAACTCATATATCAAGGAGGCCACAGTGCTGAGTTTCAGTGTAGTGACATTGTGCTAGAGTTAAATTCATGATTTTTCCACTTAACTCTTCCTACATAACTCCCACATACATGGCAGAGCATGAGGAGTTCTAGGAATTATCAGAAATGACATTTAACCAGCAGGAAGGCTACTTCTCAATTGCATGAATAAATAAGGCAGCCAAGGTTTTGTTCACATCCTTTAAATGTCCCTCTGGGAAATCCCTCATAAATCCTTAAAAAGTCCTAGAAAAAAAATACAAATGCAGCCCTGGCCAGAGTGGTTCAGTTGGTTGGGTGTCATTCCCATCACAGAAGGTCCCTAGTTCAATTCCTAGTCGGGGCACATGCCCGGGGTTGCAGGCTAGACCCCCCAGTAGGAGGAAGCAGCTTATCAGTGATTTTCTCCCATTGATGTTTTTATGTCTCCCTCTCCCTTCCTCTCTGAAATCAATAAAAATGTATTTTTTTTTAAAAAAAAAAGATGAATGTAAGTCACTGTATTCCCCACTGTGTGCCAGAGGGGAATACAATCTTAGAATTATCCTACAGCCAAAATGAGAATGAGCTTGAAATTCTTTTGGGAATGTGTTTATAGCTGCAGTTGGTTGAAGTGTCCTCCCAAAGGTCTTGGGTTCAGTTCCCATTCAGGGCACATATCCTGGTTATGGGTTCGTACAGGAAGCAATCAATCGATGCTCTCCCCCTCCCTTCTCTCTCTAAAATCAATAAAAAATAAAAAATAAGAGCTAGTCTGATGAATGAGCTGTCCTGCCATCTGGCATTTACATGTGAACATGAGACTCTTCTACAATGATCCTTCACGTAGATTCATTAAGGGCTGGGGGGTGGGGGGGGGGGCCGGAAATCACTTAAATTCAGTTATACTCCAGCATGTAGATTTCCCACAGTAAAATACAATATACATTGCATTCGATCCAAAATGATAAAACTGCACAAAAAAGGAGGCATCTTTATTGCAATAAGTTAATCCAGTGGATAGGTCTGAGAAAGCACAAATCAGTTGGTCAGGGCAATAAGAGCCTCTACCACGTTGCCCATGTGTTCCCTCAAGCTCCGCTCTGCGGCTGCTCTTGAGATCTCCATCTCTGTCATCTGCAGGAAAAGGATCAATGACGTTACCTCTCTGGCATTAATGTGCCACCAAAACATACTAACTCTACTTGTTTCAAGAAACAGCCCAGCCCTAACCGGTTTGGCTCAGTGGATAGAGCGTCAGCCTTTGGACTCAAGGGTCCCAGGTTTGATTCCGGTCAAGGGCATGTACCTTGGTTGCGGGCACATCCCCAGAAAGGAGTGTGCAGGAAGCAGCTGATCGATGTTTCTCTCTCATTGATGTTTCTAACTCTCTATCCCTCTCCCTTCCTCTCTGTAAAAAATCAATAAAATATATTTAAAAAAAAAAAAAACAGCCCAAACTAGGCATCACTACTCACTATCAGCTCCAGATCTTCCTTCTTGATGGTGACTTTTGCCAGTTCCTTCTCCCTACAAATATTCATGTGGATTAGTCCTCATTCTCTATCTCCACCATAAACTCCCAGGAAGGACATCCCCTGTTGTACCTTACAAATAAATGACTCTTGATAAACAGTTGAGTGAAAATACAAAGACTTCCACCCTCTCAACATAACATTACCCCCCTCCCCCAGGAGACTTTAGGGCAGGCAGTAGGTGTTGCCAGGAGGCCTTACATCTACCAACAAAAGAGTAAAGTTGTAAACCTTATATCTGAGGGAATTGGTGAGAGTTGAACGGTGCAAGGCTTACTCGTGGTTTTTGTTTCTGCTGGGGGAAGGAGGGGCTCTAGGGCTGGGGAAGGAGGGGCTCTAGGGCTGGCTGCGTACCGAACACTTACCGCTCTTGTTTGGCTTTCTGCTCCCGGGAACGTCTGTCTCCAATCACGGACATGGCCTACGGGAAAGACAAATCTAGTTACTGCTCTGCTACCCACAAACCCTAATATAGAAAGCCATTAACAAGCGAGGCAGGTGTATATTCTCGATGACGAGTGTATCAGGAGGCCTATTTAATTCAATCCTGAGCTTCGGAAGCCCACTTTAAACCCAATCTCCAGCAAGCTCCTTTTCGCAAGCCGCGGGTCCCAGTGATGGTTCGGTTTCCCTCTTGCCTCCTCCCGCCATCGGGATCGTGACCCGGTCCTGGAGCGGGGCTTCCAGTTACCCCCTCGGAGCCCCCTCCGCTCTCAGCCCGACCGACACGCGCCCGGCCGCCTCACCGTCTCCAGGTTGGAACTCTGGATCTCCTTCTCCTCCGCATAGTCGGTCACTCTCTCCAGGTCCGCCGCACCACTGTCATGCTTCCGCGGCTTCTCCGGGGGCCGCTCCGGGCCGCTGGTCTCGGTCTCCAACTCCAGCTCCACATCCCCCTCGGTCGCCATATCGACCACACCGCGCCGCCGCACAGACCCCTCCCCGCCCCGCGACTTCCGGTAACGCCCACAACATCCGCCGGGAGAGGAGGGGGCGGGCTGTGCCTGGGCCACGCCTTCGTTAGTGCTCTGGTTCTAGAAGCTTCAGCGAGGAAGGGGGTTCGCCTGGCCGCCTTTCTTTTGGCTTGTACCGTGTTGTTTTCTGCAGAGCCCTTTCCCAGACCTACCCCCTCACATCCTTCCCTCTTTACCCGGATCTCGCCAGCACCCTCCCGCGGGCGCGCGCACACTCCCAAGGAATTCTGTTTAAGCAGCATTGATGCCGTCTAATCCTAAACCAATTAAGAAGGCTAATCCACAGGAGGCACATATGCATTCTGCTCTCTAATCTAGGCAGAACAGCCAGGGTGGCCTAAGGGCCCACGTAAGAAAGTAGTTTCACTGGGACCTTTGCATTTACCACTTTTCCTGATGTTCCTGCCCATTCCGTTTTAGACTGGGTGACCAGCCCCAGCACCGTGGCAGTCCAATGGGCTGGGGACAAAAGAGAGCTGCTATTTTCTCATCTACCTTCCATCTGGCATAAGGATGGTGGGTGCAAAGGCCATCGCGGGCCCCAGCACCTCCCTCCGCCTGGCACAGCAACGCAGTGAAGACAGCAATGTCAGAGTGAATCCTCCCTTCTATCAGGTGAGAAGGTACTTGGGCAGAGGCTTGGAAGCTCCCTCGACAAGAGCTATCTGAAAAGTGGAAGGGAATAGTAGTAAAGCTGGGAAAGAAAGCCCAGGGGAGCCAATAAAGATGATAGGCCTTCCTTCCCCCTCTGAGGCCCTCTGCTTCTTTGCCTGTAAGATTACTGATCATTAAACCTCTCCTCCCAGGTTCCCAGTATCAGATGTTTAGGTCTGGGGAAAGGTTAGAGGCCAGGTGTGACTTAGGCTTTTAGGAAGGTCTGCTCAAGCCTGCCGGTAGTTAAGCTCTTAGGATGAAAGCTCTGTTTGATGTCAGTGGAAGTCAATCCCAAATAGCTTGGAAGAAAAGGAAAGGGGAAATTTTGGAACTCAGCCTTAGTTTAAACTTACATGCATTAATGTAACCCTAGCCCTGCATCTGCTCTATCCCCAGGTGTCCTGCTGTGGGCCTGTTCCCTGTACCTGCTGCTGCCATTCTAGGTGGCCTCATCTCACAGAGTCCACTTGTAGCCGCCTGTTCTACATAATCCTCCATATGGGTGCCTCAGCAGTCTGCTGCCTGCTGCTATCAAGAACAGTAGTGGAGAGGGTCTGGGGCAAGGCTAATGGCGTAAGTGTGAGGGGATAGAGTTGCACTGACAAGATTCAGATTGGGGGCTGGAGACAAATGAGTGGATAATACCCATGAGAAGTAGGTACCTCTCTATGCATGACGACTTGCCCTCCTTCCAGATCCAGATGCCCTCGGGGTTTTGTGCCCATCTGTTTGGCCACTCTCACTGCCCAGTGCTCAGTGGCTCTGGGGCTGTGTACCGAGTTTGTGCAGGAACTGCCACCTTCCACCTGCTGCAGGCTGTGCTGCTGGTCCACCTGCACTCCCCTACCAGCCTTCGGGCACAGCTGCATAATAGGTTTGTGTGTACTCTTTGGGTGGGGAGGGAAGTAGACGTAAGCTTCAAGGAAATTCCAAGATGAAGTAATAGCATTGTAAAAAGACAGAAACAGGTAGTTTCTTTTTATTTTTTAAAGATTTTAAAAAATTGATTTTGAGAGGGAGGGAGGGATGTTGTTTTGTTGTTCCATTTATTTATGCATTCACTGGTTGATTCTTGTATGTGCCCTGACCGGGTATGGAACCCACAACCTTGGCGTATTGGGATGACGCCCTAACCAACTGAGCTACCTGGCCAGGGCCTGAACTTCCAGTTTCTAAAATGGAGGTGACAGTGGGATTACATGCAAGCCCTATGTCAATAGTAAAATGCTGTCCAAATGTTATTTAGGTATCAGAGAATCTGGAATAAGCTGCAATGGGCCTGCTTCCAGCTGCTCTCACACAAGACTCCTTTCCTATACTTAGCTGTCTCTTCTCTCCTTCTTCCTATAGTCTTGCTTTCTCCTTTGCCTTCCTCAGTAGGCACTACTGTCCACTCTCCTTTGTCTTTTCTTCTGAACCTGCTTTTCTTTCCCTACTAACCAGCTTCTGGCTCCTCAAGCTGCTGTTCCTGCTAGGTCTCTGTGCTGTTGCCTTCTGCATCCCTGATGAGCATCTCTTCCCAGGTACCTTCCATTTCATATCCTGATCAGTAGGCTAAAAGATTTTCTAAGAAAAAGAGAGGGTAGGAAGAAGGCCAGGAGTAATAATATGATGAGCTACATTTCCCCATTGGTGCCCCACTTGCAGCCTGGCATTACATTGGCATCTGTGGAGGCTTCACATTCATCCTGTTGCAGTTGGTGCTTATCACAGCCTTCGCCCATTCCTGGAATAAGAACTGGTAAGGAGCACATAACCCTAACGGCTCTTCCTGGGAATGTTGCCTAACATTAGTAGACCCAGCGGGCTTGGGCAAAGGACAGGACAGGTCCATGGTCCCATAACTTCTCACTGAACAATATCAAAAAAGCTCAGGAATCTGATAACTCTGTGGGCCAGCTGGGATGGGTAGTCACACCAGTCTTCTGGGAGAGGGGAATAGTTAGTAATGGTAATAAAAAAAGAGTTGGAGCGTGAAGCCATTGCCCACCTCCACCCTTAGGCAGACAGGTGCATTCCAAGACTGTCGCTGGTTCCTAGCCATGCTGCTGGCCACCCTAGGATTCTACAGCATGACAGGTGTGGCAGCAGTGTTCCTGTTCCACAACTACACGCACCCAGCTGGCTGCCTGCTCAACAAGATGCTGCTTAGTCTGCACCTTTGTTTCTGTGGCCTCCTCTCCGTCCTCTCCATCGCTCCTTGCATCCGCCTCAGTGGGTACATGCCTTGCAACATTCCAGATTTGGGGGACATTAGTATAGCAAATTACATTAGTTTCCCTAATCTATCAATTCTTTGCTTCTCCCAAAGGGTGGGGAAACAGAAGTGGGGTTGGGGGTAGAAATGGAGGAAATTACTACCCTGTAGACTAAAGCAATGATCCCCATTCTGCCCAGAGCAACCTCGCTCTGGCCTTCTACAAGCCTCTATCATCAGCTGTTATATCATGTACCTGACCTTCTCTGCACTGTCCAGCCGACCTCCAGAGAGTGGTAAGGACAGGACCTGGACTCCCCAGGCTAAAACCCCTTTTTTTTGCTCTTGCCAAATACTTAGTTTTGTTCTTACCACTTTTCTTCTACCTTCTCAGTAATCCTTCAAGGACAGAATCACACACTGTGTCTGCCTGGCCTGAGTAAAATGGAACCCCAAACACCAGATACTTCTCTGGCAGTGCTGAGTGCTGGCATCATGTATGCTTGTGTGCTTTTTGCTTGGTGCGTAAAAGTGTCAAGGGTAGAGGTATGAGAGAAGGAAAAATGCCCAGGACAGGGAGGGATGGCCAGATTGTCTGGGACTGTGTTTATTTAAACTTTAAAACACGACAAGAGGAAAGCTCTCCATGAACAGAAACAGTTTCTAAGAATAGCACTTGTCAGATGATCTGTATAAGAAAAAGGGGGCAAGGGGAATGATATGAGAATTAAAAATACATGCAAAGATTTTAGGGCCCTCATGTGAAGATTTCTAAATCTTTGGGGGGGAAATGGTTCTAGGAACACAATATCCTCCTGAGAGTTACCAGTTGGCAGTAGGTGCCAGCAGGCAATTCCCTCCTGCTATTTGACTAAACCTGCTTGAGAACTGTATTCTTTCTCAGCAATGAGGCTTCCTACCTGGCTGAAGTATTTGGGCCCTTGTGGATCATCAAGGTTTACAACTATGAGTTCCAGGTGAGAATGGAGAGTTTGGTATCCCCAGTTCGATGCCCCTCCCTCCACACACACACAGACAGACAGACACACATCCTACCAATCTCTACCCAGAAAGCTCAGATTCTAGCTGCTATTACCTTTTATTGAGTACCCACAATGTGCTAGGCACTGTGCTACTTTACATACATAATCTCATTTAATATAATCCTCACAACAACCCTGTGAGGTAGGTTATTTGCTCCATTTTACAAATGGAGAAACTGAGGCACAGATAAAACATCTTACCAAAATTCCCATAGCCAGTTATATGCTGGAGCTAGCATTTGAACCCAGGTGTGCCTCTACTTCTTACACCAGATATTTTCAAAGAAAGGGAGTTTCCTATATTAATACCTTCACATTCTTTTCAAAGTCATTCCAAAACATGCTGCCTTTTGTTTTACAGAAGCCCTCACTCTGTTTCTGTTGCCCTGAAACAGTGGAGCCAGAGGAAGGTGAGTGTCAAGTGAGGATCCATAAGAAAGTGTAGATTTCTGCAGTGCCAAAGAGCCCTTAAGTGCTTTCACAAAGGAAGCTGGGGGAGGAGGAGGGTGGAAGAGGTATTTCAGCAGCACTGTTGCCCTCCCTCTCTTCAGGGCACAGAGGAGCTGCCAGGCCAGCTGACCAAGAGACCTCTCCAGCTCCTCCAGTGCAAGCCCAGCATCTTTCCTACAGCTATTCTGCCTTCCACTTCGTCTTCTTCCTTGCATCACTCTATGTCATGGTTACCCTTACCAACTGGTTCAGGTAGGATGGGGAAGTAGGCCTGGGATACTCTCCTGAAAACCTAGCTATTGTAGGGACTGAATCAAGGCCAGTCCTCAGGGTTCCCAGGAGACTCACATGGGTCTGCCATAATCTGATGGCAAGGTAGGGCAGGTCCAAACGCTAAGGCCCTTCCTATTCTCTAACCGCAGACTTTGGTTCCACAGCTATGAGGGAGCAGAACTGGAAAAGACCTTCACCAAGGGTAGCTGGGCTACCTTCTGGGTCAAGGTTGCCTCATGCTGGGCTTGTGTACTCCTCTATCTATGGCTGCTACTGGCACCACTCTGTTGGTCCCCCACCCAGAACCCCAAGCCTCCACCTATCTTCAGGCAACAATGTCATCGTATTAGTATCGCCAGATAACAAATATCTATTCTAGGCATTTTTAACACAACTGAGGTTCCCTTGAGGTTGTGCCCCTAGTCTTGGTTCGGGAGAGCCTAGCAAACACCTCAAGGACACAATGGGCAGTTAGTTACCTCATTTAGGCTGAAGCCAATACTATGTCTGAATGGGAAGAAGTGCCCAAATATACCCTAATGCCCTGGCCAAGTATCTGACTCACTAGAGCTACCATTACATCTTCACCCCCAACTCAAGAGCTAACTCCCAAGTCAACAGCTCAGGAACCACTCTCATGGTGGAGAGGGGGACAGGGAAAGACCAACAGGGACTGAAGGCATACTTGGCTCTGCCCTTGGAGATAAAAAGAAACATAAGCAGTTCAGCCCTGGGCACAGGGATGTAATAAGCCCAGAACCCCAGAACAAACTAGAGCACAGAAAGGAAGGAACACAGAGACTACCCCAGCTTTTAATCCTGATCTTGAGGTCAAAGGAAGTGGGAAGACAAAAACCACCCTCATTCCATGAGGACTGGAAGAAGAGAATGTGAACACTTGAAAGCAGCTGACTGTGGGAAGTCGGTGAGCAGCAGGATTTTTGGGCCAACTTTCAAGCAAGCAAACAAACGGAGAAAGAATAAGGAAGAGGGGCATAAACTTAGGTCTTGGAGCCTTCCTTCTTAGGCCCTCAACTCCATCCTTGGGATGGTGTTAAGGTCTGGGTGGGGGACAAAAATTACAGAAAAGAAGTCCCTATGGTTCTTAGAGGATTCCTCTACCATATACCCAGAGTACTTCTCTGCTTGTTGTAGCATAATAAAGGATTTCTCTGTGATGTCTCACTTAGGCTACATATCCACAACCTTTTAGGGTCTAACATTCTCTCCCCTTTTCGTGGGAAAGGGCAGCCATTCCTCCATCCCCATCCCCCCTCCCCCCAAATCCCCAGTCAAACCAGTCGCTCAAGGAATTACAAAGCTACTTTTAATACTTTGGGGTGAGCCCCACAGGAATAAAAAAACACTGGGAAGTGGTAACCCTCTCACCCCCAGGAGTGGCCCAGGGGGAGAGAGGCTACCTGGGGGGAAGGAAGCACAAAAGGGGCCCGCTGCAGACTCGGGGCAAAGGGAATGCCATCGGTGCTGGGACCTGTGAGCACTACAGGAGGAAACGCGAGCGTGGTGGGACTGGCTCCAGGCACACAGGCGAAGGGCAAGAGGGTTGGACACGAAGCCACAAAGCTACTTGGGTTCCTCCTTCTTCTCGTTTGCCTTTTTCTGCTTCTGCTGCATGATCTCCGAGTCCCTGGGGGTAGAGATGATGGGGCACTGGGAGGTACCAGAGGGCAAAAGGGACAAGATGCAGGGGGGATGAAGGGCACAAAAGGGTAAGATGGAAGTGGACGGGACAAAACTCAGCGTGTGGCTGCTGTATTCCCACAGGAGACTAAAAGGAAGGGAGCTCAGGCTCAAAAAAGGGCGATCCGTCTCTATCTGGCTGCTGCCCAAGGGGTCAGAAGTCTGGCCGCACACAAGGCTATTCTGTGCTGAGCACCACACCCAGCCACACCAGTGAGAAGGTGGGGAGAAGGGAGGAGACGCGAACAGCAAGGAGGGCCAAGAGCACCGGGCTGTCACCGCCGCTAAAGCATCTGAAATGTGAAGCTCCCTGCCCTTGCCCTTCAGGTCAGGCCCAGGGGCACTCAGACACCGGACTCCGCCGGCACCCGCCCCGTCCCTTCCTGCGAGCAGCGAGCTAACCATTGGGAGCGCGGGGAGGAAACAGCCCTAGAGGAAGCGCTGCACCCTGCCCCTCGCGACTCCTTCGGATGTCAGCCCCGAGGCAGCGCTCCTTTCTGGTCCAGCCCCTGGCCCGGCCCGCGTCTCACCCGCCTGCGGTCCTCCCCTCCCAGGGGCTACCTCTGCTTGCGGGCGGCAGCAGAAAGCCCGTCATCTCGGCGCTTCCCCTTCACCGAGTCGCTCTGCTTCTTCATATTCTTCTGGCGGGCGAGCTCGCGCTGGTTACCGCCTAGAGGAAGGAGGCAAAAGGTGAGCCGCGGGGCCTTCCCGGCCACACACCGGCGACCCCCCAACCTCGCCCGGGCGGTCTCCAGCGGGGTCCCAGACTTCACCCCCCGGGTCCCGGCACCGGCCCGTTCCGGGGCTGAGGCTGGTGGGGGGCGGGGTGGGGACAGGGGGCCGAGCTGCCTGCCTCCTGCCTCGGGGCAGGGCAAACTGAAGACGGGAGGAAAGACAGTCCCGGGGAGCCTGCTGGAGGCGGGTTTCGAGGTTCGTTCGGGGCGGCGTGCGCTCCCAGACAGGTGGGGTGTGTGGAGATGGGGGGTGTGCAGGGGTCGGGTCGCCGTGGGGGCTCTGGGCCTCTCCCCCCGACGCAGGCGTCTCCCCGCGCCGCGGAAGGTCGGGGCGGCCCTCTGCCGGACCCGGGCGTGGGGGCGGGGGGCGAGTGTCCCTCCAGAAGTGGCGGTGGGCAGGGGCCGATTTCCGGCGTCGAGGGGAGGGTCGCTAAGAGCGCGCCCCGAAAAGGGCCCCGCTGGGGAGGCAGGAGGCGGCCCGCGGCGGGCCCGGGCAGCGCTGCCCGGGGTGGACTGGGGGAAAGGGCCAGGGGAGAGGGGCGCAGCGCTCACGGGTCATGGCGACGGCAGCGGCTCCGACCTGCCTCCGTTGCGTCCCTCCGTTCACTCCGACGTTGCCGGCCCCGCCCCTTTCTCGCAGCGTAACGGAGCCGTTCTCTCCTCCCCGCCTCCCCGCGCCCGGCGCCGGCTCCCATTGGGCAGGAAGAAGCACGTGGGGCCGCGGGCACGCTGGAGCCTGGGCCGGGGAGGGGCGGGGCTTCGCCGGTCCGGCGCGCGAGGGGCGGGGCTCCCGAGCGGAGTCGCGGGGCGGGCGGGAGAAAGTAGGCCGGTCACGTGGGGCGGGGGGGTGAGGGGCGCGGCTGGCGATGTGGCGCTTCCGCGGGCTCGGGCACGTGATGTGGCGGTGACCTCATGCGGGGACGGCCCGGGACGCGGACGGACTCTCCCGGAGGGAACTGCGGGGGCTGTGGGGCGGGGCGGCGGAATGGGCCGCCGGTTCCGTTGTCAGAACTCCGGACTGAGTTCGGCGCTGTTACTTAGAATACCCCACCGCCCCGTTAGCCCCTTGCGTTGTCCACGTGCTGGTATGTAAAAGCATGTACAACGCAACTTCCGAGACCCCATTGCAACCACACCGTCCCGCTGCCCCAACCCCTCTAATACAGAAATTCGCGGCACACCCCGTGTGTCCTAAAACTTTGGTCCTGCCCATTTCCCCACGGAAACTTTAAATGTGAAGATGCAATGGCTTAGAAGTGATGGAGGACCCCCAAAATCGGGCTGTGGAGTTGGATTCGGGACTAAGAGGTTGGACAATGTACACATGTCCGGTTCTCACTGCGCTGTCTCCGCCGGCCGCACACGGTCTTTCGCCGGCAGCTGAATGCGGCGTGAAGCTTACGTTTCCCACGAAACTCACTCTCATTCCTAGCTCCATTCATCCACAAACTCCCCGCCGGCCCTGAGGAGTTGAATGGGGAAAGGAGACATGCTTAGGAAACATCACAGGGAAGAACTAAGTTGTAATTTTTTTTTTTTTTTAGGCTCACCGGAGGATATGTTTTTATTGGTTTTAGAGAGAGGAGAGAGAGAAACATCGTTTAGCCACCTCCCTTGCTCTACTGGGGATGAAACCCTCAACCTGAGTAAGTTCCCTGCAGGGGGGAATCGAACCTGCGACCTTTCTGTGCCTGGGAGGACACTCCGGCAGAGCCGCACCGGGCAGGCTGGTTGTGAATTTTAACTTGTGATTTTGTCCAACTAGCTCCCATAGCAGAACCCGCTTGAGGCTGGAACTTCAAACCGGCTTCTCCCTCAACATAGAGTTGATGGGAAGGCAATAAACCTCAGTGCCATCCTCATAATTTTTGCCATACCTAAGTATCACTTGAACTACTGTCTATTATTTTTTTTGTATAAGTCTTAAATAAAGCATGTAAGTCAAATCTCATATTCCTTTAGAAACTTAAAATCAGTATCACTTGTCCAAAAGCAGAAAGTAACTATAAAAAATAAATGCAATAAAAAATGAAATATATTATTAATTCCTACCCCCAAAAATATCATTGTTAAAGATGCTGATGCCCCCCTGGCTGGGGTGGCTTCGGTTGGTTGAGCATCA